CTCAAGTTCCCCCCATGGTATACTAATAGAATGGGGAAGCTTCAAGAATATATGAGTTTTTTAGCCCCCCACTACACCTGGACAGTTTTAAGGCCCCCCATGGTATACTAATATAATGGGGAAGCTTCTAGAAAATAGGAGTTTTTAGCCCCCACTACACCTGGACAGTTTTAAGCCCCCCCCCCCCCCTCCCCATGGTATACTAATATAATGGGGAAGCTTCTAGAAAATAGGAGTTTTTAGCCCCCCCCCACTACACCTGGCCAGTTTTTTAAGCCCCCCCCCCCCCCCCCCCATGGTATACTAATATAATGGGGAAGCTTCTAGAAAATAGGAGTTTTTAGCCCCCCACTACACCTGGACAGTTTTAAGGCCCCCCCATGGTATACTAATAGAATGGGGAAGCTTCAAGAAAATATGAGTTTTTAGCCCCCCACTACACCTGGACAGTTTTAAGCCCCCCCCCCATGGTATACTCATATAATGGGGAAGCTTCTAAAAAATAGGAGTTTTTAGCCCCCCCACTACACCTGGATAGTTTTAAGCCCCCTCCCCCCCATGGTATACTACACCTGGAGAGTTTTAAGGCCCCCACATGGTATACTAATATAACAGGGAAGCTTCTAGAATATAGGAGTTTTTAGTCCTCCACTACACCTGGACAGTTTTAAGCCCCCCCCCCCCCATGGTATAATAATATAATGGGGAAGCTTATAGAAAATAGGAGTTTTTAGCTCCCAACTACACCTAGACAGTTTTAAGCCCCCTCCCCCCCCCCCCCCCCCCCATGGTTTTTATACTAATATAATGGACAAGATTCTAGAAAATAGGAGTTTTTAGCCCCCACTACACCAAACAGTTTTTAGCTCCCCCCCCCCCCCCCCCCCCCCACACCTGGATAGTTTTTTAGCTCCCCCCCCCCCCCCCCCATGGTATACTAATATAATGGTGAAGCTTCTAGAAAATAGGAGTTTTTAGCTCCCCACTACACTTAGACAGTTTTAAGCCCCCCCACCTCCCCATGGTATACTAATATAATGGAGAAGATTCTAGAAAATAGGGGTTTTTAGCCCCCACTACATCTGGACAGTTTTTAGCCCCCCCCCCCCATGGTATAATAATATAATGGAGAAGCTTCTAGAAAATAGGGGTTTTTAGCCCCCCACTACACCTGGACAGTTTTAAGCCCCCCCCCCCCCCCCCATGGTATACTAATATAATGGGGAAGCTTCTAGAACATAGGAGTTTTTTTGGTCCCCCACTACACCTGGACAGTTTTACCCCCCCCCCCCCTCCATGGTATACTAATATAATGGGGAAGATTTTAGAAAATGGGAGTTTTTAGCCCCCACTACACCTGGACATTCCTGGAAGAGAAAGTGATCAATAGGGAGAAGAATTGGAGAGAGGAGAGGGCTATAAAAGGAGGTCCGTTAACTGAAAAATCAGAAACCTGGGAGGCATATCTGTGGTGCTTCCTCCCACCCGTCCCTTTTTTCGTCACGGCCAATTATTATTGGTAAGTATGATATTAAATGATGGTAGATTACGTAAGTATGTTAAGTACAAAAAGCTATATGGTTAATACGTATGGTTGATAAGTGTTGTGTTAATAAGTACAGCTTGAGTCGTAGTGACTAAGATGGGGTTTTGAGTAATATTAATTTAAGTAAAAATGTTTTAGAATCATTAGTAAGCTAATATGTAAAAATAAAGAGTTATTATAAAGAATATTTACACCAATAATAAAACGGCCGTGGCCAAGTTAGCACCAAGCAATAAGAGTTGTGGTCTTTTATTGTTATAGAATAAAGAATACTGCCTACAGTCCCATGTCATTACACAAGCTCTGTACACTGTGCGGGTATGTGCTAGAAGTCTAAGACCACCCTTTCAGGGTGACAACGTTGTTGGGCAGATTCACTGCCAAATGGGGGAGCATATTCCATATTCCCATAATGCCCTGTCACATGAAGGAGGGGGTGACGTCTCTGCTCCCACTAAACTCCCACACTGAAAATTTTGCGGCAGCTGCCACAGAGAATCAATATGAAGGTGAGTATAAGGTGGTTGGGGGGTTGGCTTTAATCAAACCCTATAGCAGTGATGGCGAACCTATGGCACGCGTGCCAGAGCTGGCACGCAGAGCCATCTCAGTGGGCACGCCAGGAAGAAGAGGAAGATGAGCGCACACGGACCACACACACTGACCGGCCATCCAGATCTCGTCCACACTGGACCCCCATCAAACTACATCTCCCACATGTCTCTGGGGCCAGGGTGGGTGTGGACGAGAGGAAACGGCTCCTATGCGGATCTGGCACCAGGGGTGATGTAGCCGGGGATGGGCGTGGAAGAGAGGAAGAGGCTCCCACACTGCTCCGGGGGGGCGATGTGTTCAGCGTGGATGGGAATGAGCTGCTGGGTTGGAAGCCACACCGACACTGCCAGAGGTGAGATTAACTGCTTGCAGTGTCATCCATCAGTGCCCAGAAGGGTCACCCAGCAGTGCCACCTGTCAGTGCCCAGCAGTGTCACCCATCAATGCTGCCCATCAGTGCCACCCATCAATGATGCCCAGCAGTGCCGTCTGTCAGTGCCTCCAGTTGTTGCTATCAGTCAGTGCCGCTTATCAGTGCCCATCATTGCTGCAAATCAGTGCATCATCAGTGCCTCCTCATCAATGCCCACCAGTGCCGCCTCATCAGTGCTACCTATCTGTGCCGCCTCATCAATGCCCATCAGTGCTGCCTATTATTGCAGCCTCACCAATGCACATCAAAGAAGAAATATTACTTGTTTGCAAAATTTTATAATAGAAGCAAAGAAAACCTTCTATGTTTTTAATTTTTTGCTCTTTTTTCATTTATAGTGCAAAAAATAAAACACCCAGTGGTGATTAAATACCACCAAAAAAGCTCTATTTGTGTGAAAAAATGAGTGTTGCATGACCGCACAATTGTCATTGTCAAGTGCAACAGCACTGAAAGCTGAAAATTGGTCTGGGCAGGAAGGGGGTAGAAGTGCCCGATAGGCAAGTGGTTAATTGCAGTGTTGGCACTTTGAAATAAAAAAGTTGGTTTTGTGTTGCAGTTTTGGGCACTCGGGCTCAAAAAGGTTCGCCATCACTGCCCTATAGTAACAAAAAAGGTGCAGCGCTTATATCAAAATAACGTATAGACTAATGAAGTAAAAAAAATGGCAAGGTGTATCGAATAAAATATATACATACATAAAGTGCAAAGAAATCGTAGTCACACGGCGGTGGTATTAGTGATAGTCCAAAAATTAGAACGTGAGGATCTCATCAGATCACAATAAAAAATGCTTGAATTTCTTATCCAGGAGTGACAGATGATGTGACTTAATAAGTGAAAGGCGCACTCACCAGAAGCGCGTTTTAAACACGCATTTGAGATTAAAGGTATCTCATCAGGTCAAGTCAGGTCATCTGCTCCAACATCAGGTCAGGTTCCTAATCACCTCTGGGTCCTTTGGCAGGTATCACAGCATCAGGTCACCTCTAAAGGAAGCTCTGTGAATGATGGCACTCGGGGAGAACCCAACAAAGGATGCCACATAGCGTGATACTGTTTTTGAAAGGAGTTTTATTTGCACAAAACTGGGTGTATAAACAAAAGGAAGGACACTGACCATATGAATTCAGGATGGCCACCAGCGGTGGCGTGACGTCTGGATGCTGTAGCCCCTCTGACGCGTTTCGTGCGAAGCACTTACTCATAGGGTGCAGGCTTGTGGTTGCCTTTTTGGTGTCCTAGCTGCTATTTGTGTGTGTGTAGCACTCGCTGTTATTCTTTGCTTCACATATTTAATCAAACCTTGTCACATTGCCCTGAATGGGCCTTCAAGGGCCAGTTCACGCTACATGTGTTTCAGTTGCTTTTTTTCTGCATCCAAAATGCACAGAAAGTAGGTTATATGGTTGTCAATGTCATAGTTCACATCAGTGCTGGCAGTTCCAGGGCGTTCCGGTTGCAGAAATAAAAGTAGAACCTGCTGCATTTTTCCTGCACAGAACTGTACTGGAATGCGAAAAAAACTCATCAAAAATGCACCGGAACGCACCAAAACACACTGGAACACACTTGTCCCTATTTACATTGAAGAAGAAAAAAAGAGGGGAAAAATGAACCGGAAAGCATCATAACCGTACTGAAACGCTTAAAAAATGCATCAAACATATGTGGAACGCATCTGGACTTCGTTTCTGTGGTGTGAACTGGCCCTAAGAGCCAGTTCACACCACATGTAGTCCAGTGCTTTTTTTCTGCATCAAAAATGCATTGATAGTCGGTTACATGGTTTCCAATGTCATAGTTCACACCAGTGCAGTCAGTTCCAGTGCGTTCCAGTTCCAGAAAAAAAGGGCTGCATTTTCTTCCCCCACTGAACTGTACTGGAATGCAGTAAAACGCACCAAAATGCACTGGAATGCACACATCCTTATTTAAGTTGAAGAAAAAGAGAGGGGAAAAAATGAACTGGAACGTATTACAAGTGCATCAAAAAACACACGGAACGCATCAAAAACGCATCAAAAATTTGCATTCAGAAACACATTCGGGAACGCATCCAGACTGCATTTCTATGGTGTGAACCAGCCCTTAGGGGACAACTTTGACATAAACGATGTTGCCTGATCTTTTCTTAACATGTTGTGTTGTCTATACTAGTATTTTTCAACCTTTGTTCAGTCACGGCACCATTTGCAAATATGCACAAGGCACCCCATTCTAAAACATAAAAAACTAAGGAAATAGTTTTACATAATGCGGCATCCTTCATGCATGTAGGTCACCCAACATTAGAGGCGATTTATTCTTCCAAAGCTAGTACACCTTTGCACACTGGTACTAAGAGAGGGGCAAACAAGAACGCTGTGCAGTTGCCCGATGTCCTTAGCAACCGACGATATGACGCCATTGGTTGTTAGGACGCTGGCGGCTGGTAGGTTGTAATAGTGCAAAATGAAAACCCTTTTAACCTCCCTGGCGGTATTCCTGAGTGTAATTTGGGGTAAAGTTTCAGTACCACAAGCGGTAACCCCCCCGAGCTACACTCCTGCTTACCATGCGGCGTTGCACAGGGATTCCCTGCAGCGCTTACCTTGTCCTTCGCTCCCGCGATGTCTCCCCTGCAACGATGCCGGCATCTGGCTTCCATGTTCCAGTCCCTGCGAGCGTCGGGACATACGGGGGCCGGAACCGGTGGCAAATTTGAAAGTTTTAAAAAATTTAGTTTTTTTGTAAACGATTATTACATAGCAAAACATTGCTGTTTCAAACCATTTCACATACATTTTGTCCCGACTGCTTTGTCCTGTGCCCTGCCTGCATTTTTACTGTTGTTTCTGCCTGGAAACTGAGAAATGTCCATGGTGTCCAAAAAGTGTCCCTTTAGGTCAAAATCGGTTTTAGACCGGCTAGAGAACAGCGATAGTAAATCAGAACCACTTGCAGAATTGAGTGATAATGATTTGTGGGGGAAATTCGTCATCAGACACTGAAAACGATTCTGCGACTTTGCTCAGCGATGTGTGAACTTGGCACTATATTTCAAATTTCAGTGTTTTTGGTTTGATTATATTATTGAATTAAATTTATTATTATATTATTATTTTTTATGATTATTTATTAAATTATAATTTATGATTTCGTGTTTCAAGTTTTATCATATCCAGAATGTTTACTAGACTCTTGTTCGGACATATTTCAGTGAGTTATTCCTAAAAATTACAGGCCTACAATAAAAAAACGACATATTTCCATGCAAAATAATGGTACCCCATACCGCTTTCAGCACCAAAAATCTGAAATAATCATACCGCTATGGAGGTTAAGTAAAAGGTAGGCTTCATCCATCCACTGGGCAGTTTTTAGACATTGTGCCAACTCCAAGGTACCCCTGAAGAAACCTGAAGGCATCCTAGGGTGCCTGGGCACCCTGTTTGAAAAATGCTGGCCAGTGGCGTCCCTAGGCAGGTGTGGGGGGTTAACTGATCTCTCCACGAGCTCCACGAAAAGGAAAGTTTTAAAGCAAGCCGACGATCCCCGCAAGACGGATCGGATCTGCGGATTGAGCATAATGGATTGGACTCTGATCCATTATGCTCCCCAATCCGCAGATGCGATCCATCCTGCGGGGATCGTCGGCTTGCTTTAAAACTTTCCTTTTCGTGGAGCTCATGGAGAGATCAGTTAACCTTGTATAGGTTGCAAGCCGACGATCCCCACGGGATGGATCGGATCTGCGGACTGGGGAGCATAATGGATCGAACTCTGATCCATTATGCTCAATCTGCATATCCGATCCATCCTGTGGGGATCGTCGGAGGGGTGACACCAAGTGTTACCGCACCGGGTGACACCAACCCTAGGGACGCCTCTGAGGCTGGCCTATACAAAGGTGATCTAGAGTCTTAAAATGATAAAGAAACTTTTATTTCATATCAATACTGTATTGAATTCCATTGCTATGTGCGTGTCGGTGTCTTCTGTGGATACGATTGCATTTGAGTTTACAGAAAATACTGTATGCTTTGTCAGCAGCGCTGGGGGATATTATCCTTGAAATGACTAGCTGTGAGGCTCTGTGACGTGACGTTCTATTGCTTCTCCAGCAATGCAAGGTCAAAATACCTTTTAGTTAAAACAAAAAATTGGAAGTTTTGTTTCCTACATTTCCTCAATGTTCAGGATTTTGTATTATGATCTTATTTAAGGAGCCTTGGACCAAGAGATGTATGGAGGCCGCCATTACTGATCTTTCTGAAATTGTCAGTTGCCTGTCTGTGAAAGTTGCCCGGGCTGAAAGTTATGATGCAGAAAATAGAAGTGGGGCCATTCAACTTCTAAATAGGTTCATTCAAGTTACCCGATACAAGATAAATGTAGTGGAGCTTAGTCTTAGAGTGAGGACTGCAGGGTCCTACAATTCCTGCTCTGTGACTAAGCACCGGATGGAGTGAAACGTGCAAGAAGGGAGCAGCTGGACTCATCTTGTATCGGGTAATTTCAATAAACCTGTTTCAGACTTTTAGAAGATGAGTGGCTCAATTGTTGGTGTCAGTGGAAGGACTGGTACCCTATCATTGGTGTCAGTGGAAAGAATGGTGCCTCATCACTGGTTTCAGTGGAAGGAATGTTGCCTCATTGTTGATATCAATGGGAAGAATTATGCCCCACTACTGGTGTCAGTGGAAGGAATGGTGCCTCATTGTTGATGTCAGTGGGAGGAATTATGCCCCAGTACTGGTGTCAGTGGAAGGAATGTTGCCTCAGTGTTGATATCAATGGGAAGAATTATGCCCCAGTACTGGTGTCAGTGGAAGGAATGGTGCCTCATTGTTGATGTCCATGGGAGGAATTATGCCCCACTACTGGTGTCAGTGGAAGGAATGTTGCCTCATTGTTGATGTCAATGGGAAGAATTATGCCCCACTACTGGTGTCAGTGGAAGGAATGTTGCCTCATTGTTGATGTCAGTGGGAGGAATTATGCCCCAGTACTGGTGTCAGTGGAAGGAATGTTGCCGCATTGTTGATATCAATGGGAAGAATTATGCCCCACTACTTTTTTTGGGTGTGCTTTGAGTGTGGGCAAGGACACAGGGGCCCCATGATCTCCTATTGCCCGGGGGCCCCATGAGTTGTCAGTCCGCCCCTGCTCCACACTCCACAAACATTGTCACAAAAACACAAAGCAAAACTCTTGGTATGTTTAAAACTGTACAATGCAATGAATCATTGGCAGAAACACAAGAGAATTTGTGCATAAGGACATAGAGATAAACGTATCTTGCATTGTGATCTACTGATGTTATCAGAAATTTGATAAAACAACATCTTGTGAGTCACTATCAGAAATAAAACCCCGTTAAGATATAAACCTCCAGTAAGGCCTATGTATGTCATTTAAAAGTTATCCAAGAAACTTGTTCTGTAAACATACATAGTAGTGGTGCACCAAAATGAAAATTCTGCTAACGAAAATTCAAAATGCACTTGGCCGTAAACTGAAACCAGAATGCAGTTTTTAAAAATGAATATATATTTATTGGGAAAAAATACACTGATTAAAAAAAATATATATATATAATTGATCTAGTGCTTTAGAGAAAAAAAAAAAATGGCCGGAACAGGAAGTGACATTGCTCTGGTCCTCCAAGGGCATAGAGATGAGTGGCGGCCATCTTTCCTTCTCTCATCTCTATGCCCTGCGCCGGGATTGATGGCTTCTCAGGTAAGGCTGAAAACTACCGAGTGGCGGCGACAGTGGTCGGCAGTGAGGGGCGGGGTTTTCTCGGCACCTGTATTGGTGCTTTTTGTTTTCATTTTGGCCAACGGCTGAAAGGGGTGTTTTGGGCCGAAAAGTTTTTTGGCCACCGAAATTTCGGTGCATCCCTAATACATAGATGATGATGTGCATTCATTTCTTCTTGCATTAAAAAGTTATTTTTTAGGAAAATCTCTTTAACACTTCTCAAAAAAAAAAAATGCCCGCTTTAGGTATAAGATGCCTAGAGGTTCTCATGCCCAGAAGCCGTTTTGTTATGGCTGAATTCCTAGCCGTTTTGACAGGCCGGGATTTGGCACTTCAGGTCTGCTTTGCAGTTGCTGCTTGTAACCCCATTGGCATCTTCTTTAACCTCCCTGGCGGTATTCCCGAGTGTAGCTCAGGGTAAAGTTTCAGTGCTTACCATGCGGCGCTGCTCCGGAATCCCTCGATCACTTACCTTGTCCTGTGCTCCCGCGATGTCCCTCCTGCAGTGTCCCCTGTAATGTCCTCCGGGCGATGCCGGCATCTGTCATCTGGGTTCCGTCCCCTGCGAGCATCGGGACGTACGGGGGACGGAACTGGCGGGAAATTTGAAAATGACAAAAAGTGACATTCACTAAATTCACTAAAATCACATAGTAAAACATTCCTGTATCAAACTGTTTCACATACATATTGTCCCGAGTGCTTTGTCCTGTGCCCTGCCTGCATTTTTACTGTTCTTTCTGCCTGGAAACGAAATGTCCATGGCATCCAAAAAGCGTCCCTTTAGGTCAAAAGCGGTTTTAGACCAGCTAGAGAACAGCGATAGTAAATTAGAACCACTTGCAGAATTGAGTGATAATGATTTGTGGGGGAAATTCATCATCAGACACTGAAAACGATTCTGCGACTGTGCTCAGTGATGTGCAAACTTGGCGCTATATTTCAAATTTCAGTGTTTTTGGTTTGATTATATTATTGAATTCAATGTATTATTATTATATTATTATTTTTTTATGATTATTTATTAAATTATAATTTATGATTTCGTGTTTCAAGTTTTAACATACCCGGGATGTTTACTAGACTCTTGTTCGTACAGATTTCAGTGCGTTATTCCTAAAAATTACAGCCTACAATAAAAAAAATACATATTTCCATGCAAAAAAATGTACCGCTTTGAGCACAGAAATATGGACATAATCATACCGCTAGGGAGGTTAAGTGATGATGCAAGTGGACGGTAAAAATGCCTCATTTAGATCTGTACAGGATAGATCTCAACGTACCTCTATGACAGCCAATGTGTCCATGCACACGGAGATGTTCAACAGTGTCTTCTAGCCCTTTGCTCAGATCCATAAAAATTGCCTGCGTTCCACATTCCAGGGTGTGTATTTTGGAGTGTATTCGCAGACATTTACTCTAGTGGCTAGAATAAAACGATTAGTCTAACCGCTAGAATGAATGATGGACACTCAGATTTTAGACTTTATACACCTCTATGGAGTTTCGTGTTTTTGTGGGGTGATGTTCTACAAGCACGTCTTGTGTTTTAGGCACGATTTACATCCCTGGTGCCCAACCTGGTGCCCAAGCACCGCATGTGGCCCTTTGGTAGAGATGATGTGCAGTCCTTGGACCTCAGCAGTCTGTAGTGGGAACATTGATGAGGGTATTATCACTGATCTCTACTAGCCTCATGTAACATGTTCCCAGTTTCGTATTGTCTTCTGCAGAATATCCCCAGCCAACAATGTAGTATATCCACACTGCCTGACCCTCATTCCCTCTATTAGGTCTGCAGCATCTGACAGTCCTCCCAAGCACTGCATATACTGAACATTATCTGCAGCCCTTTGGTGATGCCAGGGGCCACATTTGAGGCCCCCTGTAGCTCATATGTTAACAACCACTGTTTTACATGCATTCCTATGGAGGTATGTGTAATGTGCATTTTGTGGGGATCTGCATCAAAGATCAGTTTTTCCAAAGCACAACACCCACAGTGAAATTAAATATCGCAGATGTGAACAAAGTCTAAGGACATATTCTCACTGAGCACAGTTGACTTGTGCTGTGCCCAAGCATGATTGTCCCCTTCCCTACTTCTTGGCTGGTTTGCAATCACATTGTGTTGGGCCCAAGCATGCCTGTGTCATCAGCTCTACATTGCACAGATTTGTACCATGCCTGAGACCAACTGAACTGTGCCCATGTCCTCTTCAAGCAGTCAAGGGTATGATACGCTGAACCACATCTGTGCGTGGTATGGTATGATCACACTAGTCAAACAGATTGACCTATGGTGGTCAAACGTGCTTGGGTATGGTGTGGATTGCCTAGTTTGAGTAGGCCCTAAAATTGCCAATCATCACTGGAAGTCACATGACCAAGTGCCTTGGCCTTTGACCTTGTTCATTCACTGTTGCCTAGTACAGGGGTCTCCAAACTTTCCAAGCAAAGGGCCAGTTTATTGTTCTTCAGGCTTTGGAGGGGCCGGGTGTGGCCAGAGTGAGTAAAAAATGTCCTGGGATTAAATGATGCCCCATCATTAGTATCAGTGCAAGGAATAGTGCTCCATTATTGGCATCAGTGGGAGGAATAGTGCCCAATTGCTGGTGTCAGTGGGCGGAATGGTGTTCCATTATTGGTATCAGGGTAAGGAATGGTGCCCCATCATCGGCATCAGTGAGAGGAATGGTGCCCCATCATTAACATCAGTGGGAGGAATAGTGCCTCATCATTGGCATCAGTGGGAGGAATAGTGCCCTATCATTGGTATTAGTGGGAGGAATAGTGCCCCATCATTGGCATCAGTGGGAAGAATGGTGCCCCTTCATTGGCATCAGTGGGAGGAATAGTGCGCCATCATTGGCATCAGTGGGATGAACAGTGTCCCTTTGTTGGTATCAGTGGGAGGAATGGTACCCCATCATTGGTATCAGTGGGAGGAATAGTGGCCCATCATTGGCATCAGTGGAAGGAATGGTGCCCCATCATTGGCATCAGTGGGAGGAATAGTGCCCCATCATTGGCATTAGTGGGAGGAATAGTGCCCCATCATTGGCATCAGTGGGATGAATAGTGCCCCACTGCTGGTATCAGTGGGAGGAATAGTGCCCCATCATTGGCATCAGTGGGATGAATAGTGCCCCATTGCTGGTATCAGTGGGAGGAATAGTGCCCCATCATTGGCATCAGTGGGATGAATAGTGCCCCATTGCTGGTATCAGTGGGAGGAATAGTGCTCAATTATTGGCATCAGTGGGATGAACAGTATCCCTTTGTTGGTATCAGTGGGAGGAATGGTACCCCATTATTGGCATCAGTGGGGGGAACAGTGCCCCATCATTGGCATCAGTGGGAGGAATGGTGCCCCATCATTGGCATCAGTGAGAGGAATAGTGCCCCATCATTGGCATCAGTGAGATGAATAGTGCCCCATTGCTGGTATCAGTGGGAGGTATAGTGCTCCATCATTGGCATCAGTGGGAGGAATAGTGTCCCACTGCTGGTATCAGTTGGAGGAATAGTGCCCCATCATTGGCATCAGTGGGAGGAATGGTGCTCCATTGTTGGTATCAGGGTAAGGAATGGTACCCCATCATTGGCATCAGTGGGAGGAATATTGCCCTATCATTGGCATCAGTGGAAGGAATAGTGCCTCATTGCTGGTATCAGTGGCAAACGTAGTGCCTCAAGGACTAGATAAAGGCAAGCAAAGGGCTGCATCTGGCCCTCAGGCCACAGTTTTTATAGACCACTGGCCTAGTAGAGATGGATAGGCTGCATACTTGGTGATATTACTGTGCTTTAGCTAAACTGTCTGGCATGCATAGTGGTGAGCAAGTACTTCTGCTTTGTTATTCCCAAAAATACCCATTATTAAAATTGAAGTTATTTGATTATGTAAATATGATCTAACTTCCTCTATGTTAAAGTGTGCAATAGGAAGTCATGGAGAGAAATGATGCACTTATTTTTTTGTGTGTGTGTGAGTATGCGGAGCTCTTGTGCAAGCATTCAGGCGTATTGAATAAGGCAAAGAGCAATGTGCAGTGTGGAGGAGCCCATTCCATTTGTTCAGAACAAGAGAAGATGAATTGCTATGGGCTACAGACATTTACATGTTATTCTTTGTCTTGCAAAATAACTCCAGAAGTGTTTGTCTTTATTTACTGGCATCATTCCTAAATAATCTGAAACAGTGTGACGAATTAAACGTGCAGACAAGAAGTGAAAACCGGTCCGGGATGGCTAATTGTATCCAGAAACATTGCCGTTGTTGTAGAGAGTGTCTTTCCAGCAAGTTTATATTTCAGATTATTAATGCAGTTTACTGTGAAATCATTTGTGATGTTGTATAAACTCTTTTAAAACTTATTGTGTTAAAGTGTCACTAAACCCATATCATAAAAAAAGCTATAAATAAATGCTATATTACATGTTGTTCATACTCACTCATTCACTACGGATTCGTTTTATGTATTCTGCAAAAAACCTGGTTAATCCTGCTGTTCTCTATCTCCCCCTTCTGTCCATGTCCCCAATGCAGTTGGAGATTTTGCAGAGAAGTGTTGGCAGCTCTGTACGTGCGCAGTTTTCAGTGAGTTTCTATACTGAGCATTTCCTCCCTATCACATCTGATCACCCCTGTGGTTATAGAGTCACACATGTTGGCATATACACAGTGGTAAATGACAGCGCACTCCCTCTGCCCTCCTCCATGCCACCAAACCAGCTAAACACATTGGGGGTGAGATCTTACATCTTGATTGATGGAGGCTTCACCTCCCTGTTAAGACACAGGCTGGAGAGCAGTAACACAGCTTGTGTTTGGCAGAAATCTACCTACATTGTGTTATTGCTCAGTTTTCAGTGAGTTTCTATGCTGAGCATTTCCTCCCTATCACATCTGATCAGCCCCTGTGGTTATAGAGTCACACATGTTGGCATATACACAGTGGTAATTGACAGCGCACTCCCTCTGTCCTCCTCCATGCCACCAAACCAGCTAAACACAATGGGGGTGAGATCTTACATCTTGATTGATGGAGGCTTCACCTCCCTGTTAAGACACAGGCTGGAGAGCCATAACACAGCTTGTGTTTGGCAGAAATCTACCTACATCATGTTATTGCTCAGTTTTTAGTAAGTTTCTATGCTGAGCATTTCCTCCCTTTGACATCTGAGCAGCCCATGTGGTTATAGAGTCACACATGTTGGCATATACAAGGTGGTAAATGACAGCCCACTCCCTCTGCCCTCCTCCATGCCAGCTAAACAGCTAAACACAATGGGGGGGGGGGTGAGATCTTACATCTTGATTGATGGAGGCTTCACCTCCCTGTTAAGATATAGGCTGGAGAGGCGTAACACAGCTTGTGATTGGCAGAAATCTATCTACATCGTGTTATTGCCAAAAAAAATAAAGATTTGATTTCAAATATATATTTGTATGACAATTCAAAACAGACTATTGATATCAATTATTTATATATACTTTGTATTCCAAAGGGCTGTTTTATTTTCAATTTTGAACTTGTGACCAGCAGCAGAGGACTAGAAGCTTATGTTTCTTATATTTTCCTGTAGACAGGCTGGGGAAGAGCTGAGCCACGTGACAGCTGTATATTAATTAGGAAAAAGGTATTTAGATGGTTTTTTTTTTTTAATTAAAATAATTACA